CACACACACAGAGAGAGAGAGAGAGAGAGAGAGAGAGATCTTCCATGCACTGGTTGACTCCCCAATTGGCTGCAATGGCCAAAGCTACGCTAATCCAAAGCCAGGAACCAGGAGCTTCTTCCGGGTCTCCCACATGGGGGCAGGGACCCAAGGACTTGGGCCATCTTTTACTGTTTTCCTAGTCCATAGCAGAGAGCTGGATCGGAAGTGGAGCAGCCAGGACTTGAACCAGTGACTATATGGGATCCCAGCACTGCAGGCTGTGGTATTACCTGCTACCCCACAGTGCCAGCCCCCATATTGGAGTTTATTTCCCCTTCAAGTCTGTTACTATTTTCTTTGCATATTTGGATGCTCCAATATTGTGTGTGTGTGTGTGTGTATATATATATATGTATATATATATATATATATTTCCTCTAGCTAGGTTGAACCTTTATCATTATCTAATGATCTTTCTTGATTCTTTTTACTGCCTTTGATTTAAAATCTATTTTATCTAATCTAAGTATGGTGACTACTGCTTTCTTGGGTTCAATTTGCATGGAATATTTTATTACTTTCTTTCAAATTCAGTATATATATATCCTCAGAGTTTCTTGTAAACAGCGTATAGTTGGGACTTATTTTGTTTAAAATCCATTTTGTCACTTTGTATCTTTTAGTTGAAGTATTTAATCTGTGTGCATTTAAGGTGATTATTGATAGATAAGGTCTAACTATTGCAATTTTGGTACTTGTTTTGTATTTTCATTATAGTGCTTTTCTTTCTACCTTTTTTGTAATCTTCCTACTTCTACTGCTATCCCAGGCCATAGGAGAGAGCTGGATTGGAAGTGGAGCAGCTGGGTCTCGAACCGGTGCCCATATGGGATGCCAGTGTTTCAGACCAGGGCGTTAACCTGCTGCACCACAGTGCTGGCCCCAGATATATTTAATTATCTTAAGAAGCTAATTAAAAGTTGGATGGAAATGCAAAATTATGTCACTAGAGTGAAAAGCCAGAGGATTTTGGCAACCAAGAAAACCAAAGTTTACAGTCTGAGATGAGTATACAAAACCATTTGTATTTATTCTGGAGGCTAAAATGCAGAGTATCTTTTTAATATCTGAATTGATTTTTTAAAGATTTTATTTATTTATTTGAAAGGCAAAGTTACAGAGACAAGGAGAGATAAAGAGGGAGAAAGAGAGAGCTTCCGTTTGCTGGTTCACTTCCCAAATGGCATAGCAGCCAGGACTAGGCCAGGCTGAAGCTAGGAGCCTAGTTTGGGTCTCTAACGTGGATGCAGGGGCCCAAGCACTTGGGTCATTCCCGGGCACATTAGCAGGGAGCTAGAATGGAAGTGGAACAGATGGGACACGAACCAATGCCCATATGGGATGCTGAGGTTGCAAGCTGTGGCTTAACTCACTACGCCACAATGCTGGCCCCCTGAATTTCTTAAAGACGTACTTATTTTTATTTATTTTAAATTTCTCATTCAGTTTTACTTAACCTTTTTTAAAAAAAGATTTATTTATTTACTTAAAAGTTAGAGTTACACAGAGAGAGAAGGAGAAACAGAGAGAGAGAGAGAGAGAGAGAGAGAGAGAAGGGTCTTCCACCTGCTGGTTCATTCCCCAACAGGCCGCAATGGCTGGAGGTGCACTGATTCGAAGCCAGGAGCCAGGTCTCCCACGTGCGTGCAGGGGCCCAAGGACTTGGGCTGCCTTCTACTGCTTTCCCAGGCCATAGCAGAGAGCTGGATCAGAAGTGGAGCAGCCGGGACTAGAACTGGCGCCCATATGGGATGCCGGCACTGCAGATGGCGGCTTTACCTACTATGCCACACCACCAGCCCCAAGACTTACTTATATTTTAATTTGAATGGGAGAGAGAGAGAGAGAGAGAGAGAGAGAGAGCGAGAGAGATAAAATGAGGATATCTTCCTTTTGCTTGTTCACTCACCAAATACCTGCAACAGGTGGGCTGAGAATAGGTCTAAGAAAAGAGCCATCGAGGTTTCCCACCTGGGTGGAAGGAGCTCAAGTATTTGAGCCATCGTCCACAGACTCCCAGATGCATTAGCAAGAAGTTGGAAGGAAGATGAGTAGTCAGGACACCAGCCAAGTACTCTAATATAGGGTGTGGGTGTCCCAAGCAGCAGCTTAACCCTTTATATCACGATATGTGCCCCTGACATACTTTTTTTTTTTTTACAATACTGGGGGTGTTGTGGTACAGTGGGTTAAGCTACCACTTGTGATGCAAGCATCACATATGAGTGCAGATTACTATCCTGGATGCTTGGGTTCCTATCCATCTCACTGCTAATGAGCCTGGGAAGGCTGTGAATGATGGCGCAAAGTGTCTGGGCTCTTGCTACTTATATGGGAGACCCAGGTGGAGTTCCAGCCTCTGGCTTTGGCCTGGCCTAGCCCTGGCTGTTGCAGACATTTGGGGAGTGAGCCAGTGGGTGGATGACCTCTTTCTCTCTCTCTCTCTCTTTAACTTTTTGAAATAAATAAAATCTTATTAAAAAGATACACAAACCATACAGGCTGAATGAAATAAGAAGTTAAGTGCATAATGAAGGAACGTTTGGGTGGCTGAGGAGTGTTGGAGGCCAGAGGAATGTATGTGAAGACTGCAGCATGTTAAAGCCACAGAGTATCATATCCCCATTAGGAAATACAAATAGGAAGGTCCTTCTAATGTAACATTCTAGGATACAACACATATTCTTTTTTAAAACATTTATTTATTTATTTGAAAGGTGGAGAGAGAGAGAGAGAGAGAGAGAGAGAGAGAGGTCTTCCATCAGATGGTTCACTCCCCAAATGGCTGCAACAGCTGGAGCTGGGCCTATCTGAAGCCAGGAGCCTGGAGCTTCTTCCAGGTCTCCCACGTAGGTGCAGGGGCCCAAGGACTTGGGCCATCTTCTACTCCTTTTCCAGGCCTTAGCAGAGAGTTGGATTGGAAGTGGAGCAGCTGGGACTTGAACTGCCATCCACATGGGATGCTGGCACTGCAGACCATGGCTTTAACCTGTTGTGCCACAGTACCTGCTTCACAATATTTTTTTTTTAAAAATATTATTTACCACACATGGCTACAATGGTCAGGAATGGAGCAGGCTGAAACCAGGAGCCAAGAACTCTATCTGGGTCTCCCACATGAGTGGCATGTGGGTGGCATCTGGATCTCCCACATGGATGGTCTCCCACATGGGGGCCCAAGTATTTGGGCCATCTTCCATTGCCTTGTCTAGCAGAGAGCTGGAGCAAAAGCAGAGCAGCTGGGAGTCAAACCAGTGTTCATATGAGATGCTGGCCCCATAATTTAAAAATTTAGACATGTAGTTTAATTAAGCTTTGTTTTAAAATGAATAAATAAATCTAACAGAAATAAGTTCTTGCTTTTACTCTTTTATTGTGGCAAGAACGGGTAATGTGAGATTTATCCTCTTAACAAAATTTTAAGTGTATAAATACAGTGGTTTTTTTTTTTTTTTTTAATACAGGCAGAGTGGACAGTGAGAGAGAGAGACAGAGAGAAAGGTCTTCCTTTGCCGTTGGTTCACCCTCCAATGGCCGCCGCAGCCGGCGCGCTGCGGCCGGCGCACCGCGCTGATCTGAAGGCAGGAGCCAGGTGCTTATCCTGGTCTCCCATGGGGTGCAGGGCCCAAGCAATTGGGCCATCTTCCACTGCACTCCCGGGCCACAGCAGAGAGCTGGCCTGGAAGAGGGGCAACCGGGACAGAATCCGGCGCCCCGACCGGGACTAGAACCTGGTGTGCCGGCGCCGCTAGGCAGAGGATTAGCCTATTGAGCCGTGGCGCTGGCTTAAATACAGTGTTTTAAAATATGAACAAAATGTACAGATGCTATTAATGTTACAAACCTGAAACTTTGTACTGACTAACATGAAATAGCAGGGTAATATACTAGTTTAAGAACATGGAGGGGGGCGCTGTGGCATGGTGGGTAAAGCCACTGCCTACAATGTCGGCATCCCATTTGGGCGCCGGTTCAAGTCCTGGCTGCTCCACTTCCGATCCAGCTCTCTGCTATGGCCTGGGAAAGCAGTGGAAGATGGCCCAAGTCCTTGGGCCCCTCCACCCATGTGGGAGACTCGGAAGAAGCTCCTGTCTCCTGACTTTGGATTGGTGCAGCTCCAGCCATTGCAGCCATCTGGGGAGTGAACCAGTGGATGGAGGACTTCTCTCTCTGTCTCCGCCTCTGTGTAATTCTGCTTTCAAATAAATAAATAGATAGATAAATAAATAAATAAATCTTTAAAAAAAAACAACATGGGACATAAATTAGACTGACTGGGTTTGAAACCTGGTTCTTTTGCTTACTAGCTGTCTAACATTGGGGAAGTTGGTTTTTTTTTTTTTTTTTTTTTTTTTTTTCAGGCAGAGTGGACAGTGAGAGAGAGAGAAAGGTCTTCCTTTTTGCCTTTGGTTCACCCTCCAATGGCCACCGCGGCCGGTGCATTGCGTTGATCCGAAGGCAGGAGCCAGGTGCTTCTCCTGATCTCCCATGGGGTGCAGGGCCCAAGCACTTGGGCCATCCTCCACTGCACTCCCTGGCCACAGCAGAGAGCTGGCCTGGAAGAGGGGCAATCGGGACAGAATCCGGCGCCCCGACCGGGACTAGAACCCAGTGTGCCGGCGCCGCAAGGCGGAGGATTAGCCTAGTGAGCTGCAGCGCTGGCCCGGGAAAGTTATTTAACCTATTTATGATTCAGTTTTTAATTCAGTAAAACAAGGATAATAATGGTATATGTACCTTGCTGGGAAGTTATAAACATTAAATACATTGATACAGGTAAAGCACTTAAAATAGTATAATAGATAATTAGAGCTTACTAAATGTTAATACCATTTAGAGATATAATTGTTTACCTCAAGGAATTGATAATTCTACAAAACTCCACTTTGAGGGTTAATGCACACATGGAGAAATTGGGAAAATTTAAGTGCTAAGCAGTGTGGTATAGATTAAGAATATATAAGACATAAAAGAAGAACAAATTCATGGTAGGCTTACAGGTAATTGAAGTTTTTATAGTATGCTTCTATATGGCAGGAAGTGGGGCTATCAGTGGCAATTAGGACAAGGGCAAAAGCCTGGAAGTAGGGCTAAACAACAGAATTCTTTTTATGTGCCCATATTTTGTTCTAATTCTTTCACAATTGAGAATCTGTGTGATAAATATGATTCAATGCATTTAAGTAATGGTCATCATTAAATACTTTAAAATTATATTTAAAATTTTATTTATATGTTTAAAAGGAAGAGAGACAAAGAGGTAGAGATTTACCATCTGCTGGTTCATTCCTCAAATGTCTTCAACAGCTGGGGCTGGTCCAGGCTGAAGCCAAAAGCTGGGAACTCAATACACGTCTCACGTGAGTGGCAAGGACCCAGCCACTTGAGCCGTCACTTGCTGCCTTCCAGAGTCAGCATTATCAGGAAGCTAGAATTGGGAGCAGAGCCAGGACTTGTGACCAAGCACTCCAATATGGGGTGTGGGTGTCCCAAGTGGCATTTTAACAGCTGCGCCAGATGTCTACCCTATGAATATATATTTTTAAGGTGGACTTTAACATAACTGGTCTCATTTGAGTTTCACAAATGCCCTGTAAGAAAGGCAGGACAATTATTATTATCTCCCTTTAAAAATGAATAAGCTGAGTATCAGAATTTGTTACTTGCTTAAGATAACACAATTATTAAGTAATAGAGACCAGGTTAGCATATAGGTCTTCTATCTTTCAACATTGTGCTTTTTTAACATACTATGCTGTTTGCTGAAGAGTAGAAGGTCTAGTAAATGAAAAATGAGGCCTAAACTTTATGATAAATATTGTATTTAATTTTGTCTCAATCAAGTGAAAGGTCATATAAAGTAAAAGTATAGGTACTTCCAAGTCTCAGGTACATTAAACAAAAAATAAATGTGCAGCAGTCTTTACTATGTGTTTGAGGTCATGTTTCTCTGTATTTTGTGATTTTTTTTTGAGGGACTGCATCATTAGAAGTGAAATAGAAATATACATATGGCAGATTCAGATATCACTTCTCCTCACATACTTTTCCTTTTCCTTCACCATTATTCCCCTTAAAATAATTAGCCTTTTGAGATGCAAAGTTAAGAAACAGACAAATCATCAGCAAAAGCTTCCCCATGAATATTATATTTCAGCTATAAGCAAGTTGTTGTTGCTGTTTTAAGAACAAAGCTTCCACTATAATATACAAAGCACTGTAAACATAGCCTTGATATTCCTGCCAAGATGCCAATAAAAAAGTGAAAAGTAAGAAACAATAATAAATGTAATAATTAACTTTCACTCATAAATGCATATATATAGCAAAGTCTCTTACACATAGTTATACACATATAGAAAAACATTTGCACGTCTTAAAAGAATTTATAACATGGACATTCAAAATTTTCTTCCAAAATCAATTCTAGTTAATATTCTGATCACAGTAACAGGCATGTGAAAAAGTAAACACCTTTTCTTCTTCTTCACATAAATTTGTAATTACTTTTGTTCATATATGGGAGTGTCAGTTGTCTGGGTTCTTAAGGAAGAATTATATGCGTTCCCTATTATTAAGTTCCCTATAGGAACTTAAGCGAACAACAAAAACTCCACTATTATTTTGGATGGTCTGAGCAGGGGGAGAAGAAAATTGGAGACAAACTGGCTTCTGATAGGTTTATCATCCTCAGTCTCCAGATTCAACATTTAGAGCTACTTGGCTAAATACTACTTTCTTCTTAGCACTTGTACGTTCTCTTCTGGAATAAATGGCCCTAGTTTCATAGACAGTCAGTACTACAAATTGTGAGACTGAAAGTGCATTTTATGTAGCTTCTGAGTCATCTCTAGTTCTCATCTGATGCTATGCATACAAAGGATATGTTAGGATGATTGAGAACTATTTGCTAATTTTATATCTTACAATTCTAGTTCTTATCCTTTGTAAAGCTTTTATTTGAGAAGGAAAGCCTTGATCTCAGACTCATGTTTTACAGGGCAAAGACACAAATATTCCCCAATTTCTGTTGAATGGTCAAAAAACTGTTTATCACTCAGTTCTTAGTTGTGGACTGATTTTTAAACATTTAGAATACTTTTAAGTATTTGATACTGTGGATGCATAAATGAGATAGATTTATAGGCACAGAGTAAGCATTTGTAAATTACTAATGAAAATTTATTATCATAAATGATTTGAAAAAAGAAACTTGTTTTGAAAACTCTTCATTAGGTTATACTGGGGGATTTTATTCTTTACATATTTCTTCTCCTTTTTCTGGCAAGGAGGGCTTCTTCTTGGGTACATAAGTCATGCTGGACAAAGAATGCTTTCTAAATGTAGAGAGCCTTCTTCTAAAGTTCCCCCCTGAAAAGAAATATAGGAGGGGGTCAAAGCAACAATTTGATGCTGCCAGAGACAAGGTTATGACCACTGATTTCTGCATTCTAAGGACAGAATCACAGGATTTCGTTTCATTGTGCAAAAAATGAAGGTGGATGGTGCGTTGAATATGATATGGCATGAAGCTGATTAAAAAGGCAGTTGTAACAACTATGATCATTCCTATAGCCTTTTTACGACTTGAAAAATTTTTCTTCATTGAATTTTTTAGTAAGGTCAGAATGATCATTGTGTAACAAACAATTATAATAACAAAAGGAATGATGAAGCCAATAAATAATGACACATAATGCAAGACAATCACATGTTTTTTAGCTTCATTGTTCTGAGGAGGCTCAAAGCACTTTGTATTATTTTTCTCATCTTTGTAAGATTTGGCCATTAAAAATGGAGAACTGCTCAAAATTACAAAAATCCAAATTCCAAAACACACAAACCTGGCTTTTTTCTGTGTGACCAAATTAATATTCTGGACTGGGAAAACAATTGCAACACAGCGGAAAAAGCTCATGGCTGTCATGAAGAAGATGCTGCAATAGAGATTGACATACAAGGCATAGGTACTGAGGCGGCACAAAAAGTCACCAAAGAACCAAATTCCTTTGTGAACATAATAGACTACACGGAGAGGCAGTGTGCACACACAAAGTAGATCTGCTATTGCTAAGTTAATCATGTATACTTGGAAGGCTGATTTCTCATGATATGTTTTTATGAGGACATAGAGCACAAAGCTATTTCCAAAGAAGCCCACAACGGAGATCATAGAGTACAAGGTGGAATACACTTGATTACGGAAGTCATCAATAGTGTCATGGCATGTGTTATTACTGGCAGAAGATACTGTCAGATTTCTGGCTTCGTCCATGTTTCTCTAGGAATTTTTTCCTGGAGCCTGTAATATATAATGAAATATAAAAAGACATTTCATGAGTTTCTGCTACACCATAAATTATAGGGAATACTAAATTTTGAATTTCATGGAGTCACTCTGTATATTTTTTGACTACAGTAGGAAGCAAGGATACTGAGGTGACGAGGAGGAATTCAACCACATCTTGTCTCCAGAAGGATTTGGATCCTCTATCACCCAGAAAACTTTTCCCTCCTTTTTCATCCATGTTTGCCTGATGAACCTCCTCTTAACCTTCGATATCTAGGCAAAAGCCATACTTCCCTGGTACTTTCCCATAATTTTTCATTTTAAATGAGTTTGTTCTTCAATTATAGAAAAGCTTTACAGATAATAGTTTCATATATATGACTTTTCTATCATCTGTTTATCTAATCACCTATTTTAAGACCTTTGAATTCTTCAGAGAGTAAAATCTGGATAAAAATGCTTGGTTCTCTTAAGAAGAGGGCCTTGTAGATACGATCTGCAGGGTGCTGTTTACACCTAAGGAAAATACTCTAATTTATTATTAATGAAACTCTTTCCCATGTAGGAGGTTCTCAATCTAGGCAGTGGTTGACTTTATTTAGAGAAATCTTAGAAGCTGTGTTATTATTTTAATGGTGGCAAAAAACTCACAGAGAGGTGAAATCCATTTCTAAAATATATGCTATAATTTAAGGTTTGGAGGAAAGATGTGGTACAAGTACTCAATTTACTTTTTGGGTGAGGAAATTGTAGCTATTTATTTTTATAGTCTTCCTAGACTTATACTCAAAACCTTAAGCTATTTCTCCTGTAGTAAGAAGTTGTTACTTGTCTAGCCTAATTCAGCTTTATCGACCAGAGCAGTCAGCAAGCTCTGATCATAAAGACCTAGGAATGAGATCATGTAGAAGTGGTGTTTTGTTTAGTGTTCTTTGAGATGTTCCTCTTATTTGTGAAGGTGGCAGCAAGTCATCAATATGTAATATGGCAGGTGATATTTGATGAAAATCTGATTTGTTCGCCTTTCACGTGACTCCTGCTCCCTGGTAAGAGAGGGGTTGGAGTTTATAAGGTGGAAAGTCTGCTCTAGCATGCAAGAACTGCCAGCAGTAGAGTGGACTGATCTTGTTCCTGTACCATGGATATAGAAACAGCTACGGCAGTGGTTGCAGGTGAGAGATGACTTTTCTGGTTTAAAGCTACTAATAATTACATTTGTTGTTGAGGATGTGTCATCCATGAGTCTAGTTATCCCAGTTGTTTCATTTATTCTTTCGTTAAATAAATTTATTATTATTATTATTTTTACCAAGAACTGTTGGTATAGTATTTAAAAAACTGAAAAGGAATAGTTCTGAGGCCACAGAGAAAAATGAGACCACTATTCTTAACCTCTGCATTATTTCTAGTTACTTGCCTCTTTCACTATTGTTTCTGTGAACTCAGATGCAGTTGTGGAAGGAAGGAACACTGTCTAAAGTTAATCCAGTCTTTTTTGTTAGTCCTTTATTGGGTGTTTTCTCCAAATTGGGCAATATTATTCTGCAAGGCACTAGATGGTGCTGTTGAGATTTTTGATATGGACCTTTCTTTTTCCAGCTTTATGGAGGTACAGATGACAAAAGTTGCATGTACTTGATGTACAGGCACAATGTGATGTACAACGTGATGGCTTGACATACACAGACATTGTGAAATGATAATGATTAACCCAATCACTTCACAATGGGATGATTATTTAGGTGTACATTGTGAAATGAGTATCACAGTCAAATTAATTAACACATCTATCATCTCACATATTTACCATTTTTGGTGTGTGATGAGAATGGTTAAGGCCTAGTTTCATAGCTAATTTCAAGTATACAATAAATTGTTATTCACTATAGTCAGAACTTATTCATCTTATTATTCATCTTATAACTGAAGTTTTACATCATTTGAACATCTCTCAAGCCCCTGGAAACCACCCTTTCATCTTCTGATTCATATTGATTTTCAAAGAACCACACGTGAAAGGCATTAGATAATTATTAACAGCTCTTCCTACCAGCATCAGCCCTCAATCTGTCTTGTGACAAATAACTTTCCACACATTAATTGTAGCTTCAAATTATGTCATGTAGTAACTTTAAAACCTTCATCACATGACAGCATCAACTTTGTATGATTACTAAAATGAAACTGAATTCATTAGAATTTGGCATTTCCCTCAGAGTGAAAGACATTTTAGTAGTTGCTTATCTACCTGGATTTCCACTTTGACTTTATTTTAGACTTCTGTGTATATCTACCAGCTTGGCAATACATCTAAGAAGAGGATTTTCTTTGTTCTATCCCTTTTCAATAAAAGGACCAGATAGGGAATCCAGTCAGCCTTATTGGAAAAAAAATTTATTGTCTCCTCTTTTAAAAAATATATTGTTTTTATTCTGCTATCATAAAAGCCATCTATAAACTCATAATCTAGAAAAAGCTAAGTACTGATAACATTCTGGTGCTTATCTTTGCCATGTGTATATTGTGTGTGTACATGTAAATATCTCTATGTGTTTTTATCTAATATGCATCATGCTGTATTTACCATTTTGTAATATGGTTTTTAATTCTTTTTTTAAAAAATATTTATTTATTTATTTGAAAGGCAGAGTTACAGGGAGGCAGAATGAGAGAGAGAGAGAGAGAGAAGAGAGAGAGAGAGAGAAAGAGAGAGAAAAAAAGAGACAGTCTTCCATCTGCTGGCTCACTCCCCAGTCAGCCACAAGGGCCAGAGCTGAGCCGATCTGAGCCAGGAGCCAGGAGCCAGGAGCTTCTTATGGGTCTCCCGTGTGGGTACAGGGGTCCAAGAACTTGAGCTATCCTCTACTGCTTTCCTAGACCACAGCAGAGAGCTGTATCAGAAGTGGAGCAGCTAGGACAAGAACCGGCACCCAAATGGGAGGCTGGCACTGTAGGTAGCAGCTTTACCCGCTACGCCACAGTGCCAGCCCCTGTTTTTTTACTTCTTTATTTATAATATTTCACAGATTTTTCTCATGTTGTTAAATATTCCTCTCCACCCACCCCCCTGCCAGAAAAACCCTTCAATGTTTCCTGAGTGCCTTTGGGATAAAATATGGACTTCTTGGTGTGATCTTTAAACCTTAAGGCTCCCTACAGTTAGGCTGCAATTTATCTTTCACTTCTCTTCTTTACAAACACTGTAGTTAAAGGAAACAACTGTTTTTCTATACCAGACACATGTGCCAGAAGTTTTATTACCTTGCTGTCTTTTTCTCATGCTATTTCTTCTACTAGAAATGCGCTTTCCTCCATCTACATGTATGCAATAACACCTTTCAGCCCAAATTATACCTTCTTGATTAAGCCTTCTCCTACCCTACATTCAAAGCAATTTCTTTGTTGAGTTTCTAGGGGACTTGAATCCTATTTTGGAAATCAAGTGTTTGTACAAATGTGTTACGTTCCCTCCTAGATGATCTGATTTATATATAAGAAAGTATCCCATAGAGGGCCACATAAATGCTCAATGACTGTTCAGTGAATAAGTAAATAAAGGACAGAGCAAGTTGGGCTTTGGAAGGTATAATTTATCATGTAAATCCTTTTGGAATCATCCCATTCCAATATAATCTAAAATCTTTCCAGTCTCAGAGTCTGAAGTTACTGTGAAGTTGCTTTCTAAAGTACTAAGGAACGTAAGCCCTCATATCATTGACATAAAGTAATCATTTATTTGTCTGTTATACGTTATAAATAAACTTGAAATTCTCAGATTTTTGAATAAAAGATGTCAAACAAAACTGGTAAGTTGAGAAACATATGATCTCTGTCCCATTTCTAAACTTCCCGGCCTTTATAGAAGACCAAGATAAGCTTTTCTATAAATTCTGATATTTAAATTCAAATGTTTATTTACAACGAAATCAAATCAGTGACTTATAGTAGGCCATAAAAAGTATACTGTAAAACTTTCTAACCAGAAATGAATTCTAGAGGGGTTTAGATCATTTAGTACACACCATTCATTTCATCAGTGATGGCTTTACTTGTCTGAAACAGTATTTAATTCATTTATATAGGATTTATTGTGATCCTCCAATAATATGACTGCAACTAGATGGGTACAGAAAGTTCCTTTGGAAAGCTATGATCCCTAAAAACTCATCTCTGCAGTTAAGCAGCTTGCAGTCTGGTGGGAGAGAGGAGTGATAACTCAAGGAGTGGAGAGGTTACAATATTCACACAGTATAGTGAAAACTATCTTAGTGCAAAACAAGTGGGTCACTAATTGATCAATAAGAGGTTAAAATAGGGGCAGGTGCAGTGGCTCACTTGGTTAATCCTCCACCTGTGGCACCGGCACCCCATATGGGCGCCAGGTTCTAGTCCTGGTTGCTCCTCTTCCAGTCCAGCTCTCTGCTGTGGCCCCGGAAGGCAGTGGAGGATGGCCCAAGTGCTTGGGCCCCTGCACCCTCATGGGAAACCAGGAGAAGCACCTGGCTCCTGGCTTTGGATCTGTGTAGCTCCGGCCGTAGCTGCCATTTTGGGGGTGAACCAATGGAAGGAAGTCCTTTCTGTCTCTCATTCTCTCGCTGTCTAACTGTAGCTGTCAAATAAAAAAAAGGTAGCAATAAACATAAACTAAGTTGATTTAATTTTACTCCAGGTGATGGAGTTACTTTGTTAAAGTAGTTGCAAGTTGAAAATATAAGGTTCATCTTAAAAATGGAGCCATACCTATTCGTAGCACTGAAGTATCCTTCAAAAATGTTCCTTATGATGGTTAATGCTTCTTATGCTGTAATATCAGAGGAAGCCCAAACTGAAATCAAAAGATTGAAAAGGAAGTTAACAAACTTAAAAGAAATTCAGAGGATCATGGGAACTTCTCTGTCCTAAAGAGTGATCCAGAGTGTGTGATGGAACATCAAAGCTTTACTGAGAGATTCTACACCTCCTTCTTTTCCATCCAAACTTTTATACGTTTCAAGGGAGAAACTTGGGATAAAGGCCATGGCTAGTTCAAGTATTTACTGCTTTATCTAAAGATGAATACAGCATTGTAAAGCATCCCTATTTTATGAAACCATAGTATTTCCCCTATATTATCTTCTAAGCAGCTTGTTATAAAATCCAAAGGAGGAATAATTTGGAAGTTCATATCCAAGGATATAGTTTGCTAAGAATAAGAATTAGAACATTAAAAATACCAAGTATCTTTGTGTGGATGGTTTTGGAACAGTTTTTCTTGAAGGATTCACGACTTAAAAGATCATGAACTAGGGGGCCAGTGGCATAGCAGATTAAGGCACTGCCTACAATGCTGGCATCCCATATGGCCACTGGTTCTTGTCCTGGATGATGTATTTCTGACACAGCTCCCTGCTAATGGCCTGGGAAAACAGTGGAGAAAAGTGGAGATCCAGCAGTGGAGAAAGCAGTGGGAAAGCTAATGGCCCAAGTCTTTGGGCTCCTGCACCCACATGGGAGACCTAGAAGAAGGTCCTGGCCCAGCCCCAGCCCTTGTGGCCATTTGGGGAATGAATTAGCATATGGAAGATCTCTCTCTCTCTCTCTCTCTCTCTCCCTCCCTGTACCTCCTTCCCTCCCTCCCTCCCTCTGTATAACTCTGCCTTTCAAATACATAAAATAAATCTTAAAAAAGACTATGAACTCACAATGACATTTATTATTTATATCATTACTTTTGGCATACATGATATATTTTCTAAGGTCAAGTGTTTTAAAACTTTATATAGTTAGCTTTTCATGAATATGTGTTTTCTTTTCTTCCATTATCCAATAATTTAACAAAGTATAATGACTCTGAAAGAAAAGAGCAGAGAACGGCATTCTTGAAGTCAACCTGAACACTTTTCTTCTAAATTTTTGTTGTTCTATGAGAACCTTCATTCTTGTCTGGAGCATTCTCAGAGACTGGTCATTTTCTTTTATGTGTGGTCCAAGTACCAAGAAAATAAAGCCATTCCTCCTGTTTATTCTGACCAAGTGAAACATGATTGAACTTTTTGAAGGAACACTACTGAAGAAAAGGAAGTCAAAAGGAAAATAAAAATGCAAAAACATGAAGTGTAGTCTGGTTTCTAAAGTAGGAACTTGAACCTAAAGCTAATATTGCAGTTTGCATCCACCTGCCCCCCCCCAGATAAGGATTTGACATAGGTAACTTAGTACTGTCTGGGTGAAATATGGGTTGCAGATGAGGAGTTACTCAGAATTGGCTTTTATATGTTTCTAACCAGGCAGTTTGTTTAGCTTGTCCTGGGTATCTCTACATCAATTTAAAAGATGAAAAACTGTGAAATATTGGAGAGAATTCAGAGCAAAGGTGTCTATCAAGTATCACATTTTGGAGTGTAAATTTTATAAAGACTATGGAAATAAAAATATGAAAGGGTGTCTGCTGCAACTTTATTGATAATAGCAAAAAATGAATTACAAATGTACATCATCTCATGAATGGATGGCAAACTTGTTCTGTAAATAATCTGATAGCAAATGTTTTAGGCTTTATAGATCTGAGGGTCTCCATTGCAATTACTCAACTCATTCCCTGGAAAGAAAGCAACTGTAACAATATTGTAATGAACGGGCATGGCATGTCAAATAAAACTGTGTTTGTGAACACTGAAAAAAATGATGTACTGACTTAATGCTCAGTGATTCTGAAATTGTATGATTCCATTCATCTTACTTATTGAGAAGACAAACTTTGGCTTTCATGGTTTTGTGTTTAGATGAAACTTGTATTTCTCCCTAGTGTGGAACAAGAAAGAAAGTTTATTAATTTTAAAGACCTATTTATAAGAAATATATATTATCAGCCTAATGGACTAATTATATATTTCTATGATGGCTGTGCAATTATAGTTAAGCCTAATTTTTACATGCATGAGTGAATAAATGTCACATTGTTTGGGCAACAGCATAGTGTTTTTTCAGGTTTGTGATTCTAAGGGATCATCTGTGGTTCATTTAGAAATTTTCAGCTTTGTACATGGCTGCACTTAATACTTTCACTCCTGCCTCTTCTCTTTTCAGTTTCATTAATGACTCTTTCCTTTTTTTAAAAATTAATTTCACAGATAGAGTTAGACAGTGAGAGAGAGACAGAGGGAAAGGTCTTCCTTCCATTGGTTCACCCCTGAAATGGCCTTTACGGCAGGAGCTACGCCGATCCAAAGCCAGGAGCCAGGTGCTTCCTTTGGGTCTCCCATGTGGGTGCAGGAGCCTAAGCACTTGGGCCATCCTCCACTGCTTTCCTGGGCCACAGCAGAGAGCTGGACTGGAAGAGGAGCAACCGGGACTAGAACCCGGCGCCCATATGGGGTGCCGGTGCCACAGGCGGAGGATTAACTAAGTGAGCCATGGTACCAGCACCAATGACTCTTTTCTTACAGGAGTTTCTGCCAGTATTAGACTTTACCATTCTTATTTGGGTGATTGGGTTGGTGAAGCTAAAGTGACAAAGTGTAGATATATGATTTTGATTTCAATTGTTTGATTCAGGAGTTACTCAGATCTTTTATTTTGGTCATATTAAGTTTAATTTAGGTGTGGTCAACAAATATTTATGGAATATCTATTCATGTAAGGAAAAGAGTACTTTTTCTCCATCAGCCCTTAGCCCTTATTCTATATTGATTATGTGACCTGGACAAGCTCTAGTCAAGAAGATAAATGAGAAAGCCTAGAGATAGTCTAAAAATTTTAAGTCCCAACTTATATACCATTCAACTTTATCATTGTGTGGTGTGGTCCAAGTTGAGCTGATGATCCAGAAATGTGCCTAAGCTGATATTGTCAATTAAATGAAATGATAATCTCTCATTTGTGTTTATAGGCAAGCAAAATCTATTCTTTATCCCCTCAACCCAATTTCATATTCTTTAAATTGACACATAATTATTGTTCATATTTATAGAGTTCAGTGTGGTGTTTCAATGCTTATATACCATGTATACTTATCAGATCAGGGTAATTGACATTTCCATCTACTTATCATTTCTTTATGTTTGGATCCTTTGATGTCCTGTCTTCTAGTTCTTCATGAAATATATAGTACGTTGTTATGAACTGTAGCCACCATACTGTGATTTGGAGCACTAGAACTTAATACTTCTGTGTTTTCGTACTCCTTATCCAACCCTACCACCCCGTTCTTTCTCACCTTGCCACCCTTTGCAGCTTCTAGTAATCAGTATTCTAATTTCAGATCAACTTTTTAGTTTCCACATATAAGAGAGAACATGTGGCATTTGTCTTTCTGTGCCAGGCCTATTTCACTTAACATAATGTGTGCCTATTCCATTGATTTTGCTGCAAATGTCAGGGTTTCATTCTTTTTATGGCTGAATAATGTTCCTTTGTGTATGTGTATATAATATTGTTTTTGTTTTTAAATTTTTATTTATTATTTGAGATGGACAGAGAGCGAGAGAGCAACAGAGCAAGTGAGCGAGTGAGATAGATTCTCTTCACTGGTTCGTTTGCCAAATGACTGCTATGGTCAGAGCTGGATGAGGAGCAAAGCCGGGAGCCAGAATTGCAATGCAGGTCATCCATATGGGAGACAGGAACTCAATTATGTGTGCCACACTCCTGTCTCCCAGGGT